ACAGAGAGAGAGAGACAGAGAGAGAGACAGAGAGAGACAGAGAGAGACAGAGAGAGAGACAGAGAGAGAGAGACAGAGAGAGAGAGACAGAGAGAGAGAGAGAGAGAGAGAGAAGAGAAGAAGGAGGAGGAGGAAGAGAAGGAGGAGGAGGAAAAGAAGGGAGGGAGGGAAGAAGAGGGGAGGGGAGGGAGAGGAGGGCAGGGGAGGGTACTATACTTCATGTGCAGTGTTGTAACTCACTGCTGGAGGAGTTCAACACACCCCATGTATCTACGGGAGAGGACCCTTGGGAGCTTGTGCCTAGTGTCCCTCCCATCACCTCATGTACTCTTTGCTAAGTGTGCCCTGCATCCTAAATCACAGCTTTAGGGCAACTATATCCTGATTCTTGTGTGTCCCAGCAAATCACTGAAACTGGGAATGCTCCTCAGTCCCCCTGGTATACTGAGGGCAGGGACAAAATTCTACACCTCAGGAGGCTGAGCTAGACCTTGGGTTTGCAATGTTTGTGGGTCATGAAAAAAGGCTGAATCACATTCAATACGTGAATCACATTCAATAAATGATGTTGTGTATAAAAGCAGCCGAGGGCTGGCCAAATAGCTTAGCAGATTAAAGCAATTGCAAGCAGGCGCAGGATCCAGGGATTTGATCCCCGGGCTGGCCATGCCAGCCTCACCCCCAGGGTGTGCTGAGACGGCAATTAAGACTGGGCATGGTAGTGTACGCTTGTAATCTCAGCTCTTGGGAGGCTGTAAACAGGAGGATCACTACGAGTCTGATCTACAGAGTGAGACCCTGTACACCCTGTCCTAAAATAAAAAAATTTAAAAAATTCAGATAGAGTCTCTCTAAGTTGCGCAGGCTGGGCTTGAATTTGCAGTCCTCCTACCTCAGCTTCCTCTAGTGCTAGATCCCAGGTGTGTGCCACCATGCCTGGTTAGATTTCACACTTTACAAAAACACTGATCTTAAGGTGTATTGGATCTCATCACTGGAAGCCAAAAGAGGGGCTCGAAAGGATTCTTTCAAAATAAAACACAAAATGTAAGCCCTGCAGCTGCCGTATCCTCACAGGCCCAAATGGCCCTCACTGAGACCCAGCCAACACGTTTGACTTCAGGGTGGGTGACTCACGGGGCCTAAAGATTGCAGGGGAGAGTAGGGCCACTGGGGACAAAGGTGCAGAGGATCAAGAGTTGAGGGAAAACCACCCCCAGCCATGCTGAGAATACAGGACGTCACCTCTGCTTCCTATGAGAGCAGATTAACAGCACAGAATTCCTTCATGTGGTCCTCCTACCACTCATGGCCACTGAATTTGGGGAGAACAGTGGGTTTTATGACTGGACACGTCCTTCTTGTGGGTGGTCCCCTTAGTTGTCACCTAAGCACCTCTGGCTCTCATAGCTCCTGGTGGAAAGTCTTGCAGAGGCACTTAATGCACGCGAGTGGGAAAGCTTGACGAAGGGCCTCAGACCCAGCTCCAGGGCTAGTGTTCAGCTGTGCCCTGCCTGTAGGAGGCTGAGTGACACAGGACACAGCATGGGCTTTGCAATAAGACAAAAGTAGTGTGACTCCCGCCTCTGTCCTTCCTTGCCTCTCTGAGTGTCAATTCCTTCCTCAGTACTATGGGCACGGTAGCATTTCCTGCCTTTCTGGGACAATGGTAAGGGCATGTTTGCAAGGCCTGTGGCCTGGGGTCAGGGATGTGGAGGGCAGGCAGCGAACGCCTCACCACGCATGCACAGCCCTGCAGGCAGGTGTTCCCTGGGCCTTGCTCCTTACCTCCAGGGATGCCATGCAGACGACCTTGTTAGCATGGTAGAAGAAAGTGGGCAGCACGTCAAATATGGTGGTTTCTGAAAGTATTAATTTCTATAGGAATAGAAAAAAGGAAAAATCAATGTGACTAAATTTTAACTAGCAGCTGGGGTGGGGGCGGGGGCAGAAGCTGAGTATGTCGCTAGCACTAATTGCAGCCGGTGTCACCAGCACACAGGGCTCCTCTTGAGACTGGGACAGTGACAGCGGGGGATGACAGCACGCAGGGATAGCACTCGGGTTCAGGTGCTCTAGTCGCCTGCACCTGGGTAAGTGAACTACAGTCATGAGGGTCAGGACTGGGGCTGGGAAGGCCAGACTTGGCTGTGGGAGAGAGAGCTCAGCCACAGGGGGGCCTGCGGCTTCCAAACATGCTTCACCACACCGGAACTTTTAACACTGCACTGCCAGACAAGCCCTGTGCCTGTCTCCCTGTGCCTCCCGCAGGACCAAGCGCCAACACCACCTTTCCCAGAGCCTCCCTACAGCCCCACACAGCCCTGGCCACAGGTTCCAAACCACCAGACTGGCAGCACCTTGAGGGCGAGAGGAGCTCCCAGCCCCCAAGACCCACATGGGCCACATAAGTGCTCTGGGGACACTGAAAGGAAACAGAGGCCTCACCTTGAGGTTTTCCGGGCAGAACTGGTGGCCGTACATGTCGATGGCAGACAGGAAGATGGACTCCACCTGGTTGTGCCTCAGCTCATAGGAGGGGAGGTGGGAGGCGATCAGGACCTACAGGAGAGGCAGCCAGAGGGCTGATATGAGGGAAGCCGGTGGGCGAGGGGACCACACCCTGGGGTACCACGTCACTTTGAGGCCCTACCTGTCTGGCTCTGAGGGCCACTTTGCAGTGTTCACTCTTGCTCAGCTGGGTGAGCTCATTGAGGATGGAGGTCAGCTCCTCTGACAGGGAAGGATCCGGGCCACAGAGCTCATCCTTTGGGGGACAAAACCAGAATCCAAGTGGCTAGAGTGACACAGCCCCAGCACTCACCTCAGCCAGGGTGCAGCTGACCCCTCAGCAGTCAGATTCTGCTCCCAGGACACACCCAATACAGTCCAAGACATATAGCTTTGTCCCTTCCTACAGCACACCCAGCAACCAACTCATTCATTCATTCATTCATTCATTCATTCATTCATTCTCCCATTCATCTACTGTAAAACATGCTCTCCAGTTCTGGTAAAAAGAAAAGTATAACCCTACCTATAACAGGATACTCAAAAAGCTTGGGACCAGAACTGTTTTAGATTCAGAGGTTTTTAGATTTTGGAATATTCAGAAAAAAAAAAAAATATATATATATATATATATATATATATATATATATATATAGAGAGAGAGAGAGAGAGAGAGAGAGAGAGAGCTATCTCCAGCACAGACCCAGTCTAAATTTGAAATTCACCTATGTTTTATATTCACCTTATGCACACAACCTAAAGATAATTTTATACAGTATATTTCGTGCACCCTCATTCTGTCTGCAACTCATCACAGGAAGATGGATGTGGAATTTTCCACTCATGGTGTCATACTGGGGTCAAAAAAAACTTTAGATTTTGGAACATTTCACATCTGGATTTTTGAATTAGAGATGCTCAACCATTTATAGCCAGTGATTACCAGGTGCCTGTTCTGTGCCAGGCAAGCAGCTAGATCCTTTACATACATTCCCCCAAATTCTCCCAACCTTCTGGGAAATTACACGATATCTATTTTACAGATGAGGAGACTGAAGCTCACAGAGGCACGATGCCTAGTCCCAATGTAATCAAGCATGTGTAAGCAAACCCAGGTTCAAGCAGATCTACTCAGCCTCTTCTTTTTGCTTGGTGCTTGCTGCCCAATACTGGGCTCACCATTTCACCTCTCAGGGGCCTGAAGCTGAATCTTGCAGGATAAAAGGAAGGGTTGCTGTTTTGTTGTGTGCATCCAGCCTGGCTGCTTCTGACTGAGATCTCCGCTAGAGACCAGGGCCGTGCACACGCGTCCTCTGCTTCTACTCTATGTCCTTGCTGCCGCGGGGGGCTTGGGAATGGCTCAGAGTAGAACCTTCGCAAACACCTGCTGAGAACAGGGCCAGGACGCAGGGCGGTGAGTTCCCACATGAACCAGCCACGACTCTCCTCTAGGAAGCCTCACTGCTGCCTTTTCCTAGTTATATGATAGAGATGTTTCCACAGTCAACAATTTTAACACATTGATACTTCATACATAAACACCCAGGCATGCCAAAGCTGAAGAAATTCCATAGGAAGTTTTTAAAGTCTTCTCTTTCTCACAGTCTGATTTTCTTTGTATAACCCAAGTAGCTGTGGCCTCACTGTCACAGCCTCTCACCCCCAGCTGGTGGCTCCAGGAACAGTAGTGCCCAAGGAATACCAACAACCAGGCCAAAAGGTTTCTAGGAAGCCACAGGCTCACAGCAGTTCATGTGAATATTTTAAAGGCCTGGACACCACACTCCACATAGTAAAGCCCTGGACACTATGTTTTCTTGTTAACTTTGGCAACTAAAAAGACTCCAAAGAAGTTATTTTAGTGTAATCATCCCATGTATAAGTTTTGCTGAAAGCCTCCAAAATACCAGACACCATGCAGTATACACAACTTACTCTTTTCTCCTGAATGGAACCAAATGAGCCAGGAAAATAACAAATCTTACATATAACCCTAAACCACACCTGGACATTTTTACCCACGTTCAAAGAAGCCCCATAAGGAGAGTAGCTCTGAGCCAAGCCACTGCACGGCCTGCCCCAGGCTGCCTTGGGTACAGATTTTTTATATGTTATACCCAGGAGAGAGTCCATTTGTGTGAGAGAAGTAATCCATGGCAGGATAATCCCTGGACCCACCCTGTCCAGCTTTTCTTTGAAAGTCCAGCTCATTGTAATAGATTACAGATGTACCTTACTTCACAAACAAACTCAAAAACACTCCATGCAAAGGAGGAGTGTTTCTATTATGTTTTAAAAAGGCTTCTATTATGTTAGGAGTAGAATCCCGCCCCCCGCCGCCCCCAGAGAAACTGTCTTTTTGGACATCAGCCCTGGCTGCACTCTGCACTTGTGGAGCCCTTTCCCCAAGTTAATTTTGAAAACTGCATGAGTATTGAAGGCTGATACGTTGAAAATCCTTGTACTTAGCACCTTGATCCACTAACTGGAAACCTTCCACTACAGCGGTACATCTTATTTTGGTGTAATAAGTATGCGTGTGTAACCAACCTTTCTCATTTCCTTTTATTTTTGAACGTCAGTTGCTGACATCATGAATCGCTACACTATTTCAGCATGTATCTCCTTGAGAAAAAAGACTCTTATCTGTAGAACTAATAAAACACCAAAGAAATGGAACATGAAACTGGTAATATTATCCAATAAACAGTCTGTGTGTCAGTTTCCCATCGGGGAAGCTTTTAAAAGGAATGCCTGGGCCTCACCTCCAAAGACTCTGATTTAAATGAACAAGGAGGGTCTGGGCTCCTGGCATCTGCATTTTTTAAAGTCATACCCCCCACCCCTACCATAATTGTCATGTGTGATCAGGATTAACATCTGTGTAAAGATATTATTAAATGACTCTTCACAAAAGCACCAATATTTACACGCACATCTTATCAGCGAGCCTAGCAGCCATGACTCACACTCAGCCTACTGAGTGTTTTTGTAGAGTCTGCCAAAACAACACATACACACTTTAGGCGTTCGGTGTGTTGATAAACATCTGGAAGTTCATGGCCACCATGTCGAGCACCTCTGTAATGCAGAGGCTAAAGGTAACTTGCATTAATCTCATGATGTCACCATAAATTTAGTATTAAACTGTGTATACAGGTTTTTCCTGATGCCTACATTTCTGAGTAGACCCTGTATATATGGTTTTATACAGGAACACGGTCACTTTCACTTACTTCTATCGTGCCTGTGACTACTCTTGGGTGACAAGGACAGACTATGCAGAGCCGAGAAGCTGTAATAAAGGCTCCATGACACAAATCCTGAAATACTGACCATCTGGACCTTTTTATGGGAAAATACTTGTGAGCCCCCGTACTGTAAGCCAAATGCAGTCACTCCTATTCTGCTGTTCCTACATTTTAAAAATAAGTCACCAGGGAAGATTATTAGGGGAAAAAAATCTTTAACTATGAAAGACTGCTAGCTAGTAAGGAAAAAAATTTCAGCCATGAAGGACTGCTCATTGCTACTTCACAGAAAAAGAAAGAGTGACAGAACCTCTCCCTTTTCAACAAAGGCAAAATAAAAGAGCACAAGACTCAGAGCACACTATCCCTTGAGTAACAGCTCATGGCCCAGGAGCCAGGTTGTGGGTTCAAATCTTGGCACTGACCCTACAAGCTGTGTGGCTGTGGGTAAGTAGCTTCATCCTTCTGTGCCAAAGGAAGGTAAGGACGGTACCCATCCAAGGTTGTTGTGAGAATTAAAGGAGTTCATACTTCTTTGTAAAGCCCTCCCAGAGTGCCTGGCACAGAACTGGCATTTTGTATTAGGCATGATCCGCCCAGGGCTCAGCATACCCCACCCACTGCCTATTGTCCCGGTGCTTTCCAGTGGCACATAGCCAAGCCCACTCACTCACACGGCACAACAGCACACAGAGCACGGGGCAGGGACAGAGAGGACAGGATCCAGAAAGTCTAAAACATTGACTTCCCGGCCCTTTCCAGAACACATTTGGAGCCCCCAGCCCCCCAACACGGGGTGCAGAACCCCTTCCTGCTTACAATCAGCATGATCACCAGCTGGTTCTTCTTGGCCACCTGCGCATGCGAGAAGATGCAGTCCAGCACGTGCGACATGTCGGGCTTGAACTGCTCCCTGAGGTTGATCACACACTTGTCAAAGTGCGCTGCAGGGGAGACAGAGGAGCACGCAGAGCTGAGGCCCAGGCTTCTCTGCACTGCCCTACCTGGGGCGTCTCGCCAGTTTTGCCCTATTGTTGGGGCAGGCTCAGCGCAGGGGGCACGTCTTGCCTTGTTGGAAATGGTGCTCCACCTGCAAATATCTTCGCAGGAGATCCAACACCACGGCTTTCAAATAGCCTCGGGTCCCGCTGCGGTACCTGGGGAGAAAGGAAGGCAGCTAGGTGAATGCCGTGTCATGGGCGGCATCCAAGTAGCTTAATCTTGTCTTAAAACGTTAATTATTACTATTATTTTTTTAATGCAACATACAGATCTTATTTAACAAAAACAGATAACATCCAACAGGCACCTTTATTAAGAGAAAACTGTCTAGAACAAATGTCTTAAACTCTTACAATAACCTACTTGTAGTTGCATTTAAATGATCTCTGTTGCTGTGAAGAATACAACTTATGCACAGGTATGGAAGAATGATTTGTACATCTGTCAGGTATTCACTGAATACTACCTTATATACACATATACATTAAATTTGGGAAAGATTTAACTGTTGATCCAAGATACATTTCATTTTTGTTGTTCTTTTGGAAGAGGTCATCTGAACAGAAGAATATGCAGTTCTGGCTCATGAACCCAGCCTAGACTCTGTTGGACACCAAGTCTTCTCCATTCCTCTTCAGACATCAGATGATTTTGGGTACTTGTTTGGACAGTTCTCTGGGCAACACGACATGCCAGTACTTGTAGTGTTCATCGAAATACTTGTCCAAGTAGTAAATCTGCTTATGGGCTGTTCTGCCGGCGCGCAGCAGTGCAGAAAACAAAGCAAATGTAAAACCGAGAGCAGCTCAGCCAGACATGTGTTTCCTCTGGGCCAAGTAACCACTATTTTTTTTAATGTATTTAATATAGGGTCTACAGGGTCTACAGTGTCTACAGGGTCTACAGTGTCTACAGGGTCTACAGGGTCTCACTATGTAGATTTGACTCATGGTGATCCTCCTGTTTCCAGCCTCCAAAGTGCTAGGATTACAAGCGTGCACTACCACATCCAATCTCAATTGCCTGCTTTAGTGCGCCCCGGGGGCAGGGCCGGCAGGGCACCCCTGCCTAAGCAAGCGCTTTAGTCCACTGAGCTATCTGGCTGGCCTTATTATTATTATTTTTTAGCACTATTAGAGATTGAACACAGGGTCTTTGTACTGAGCTACATCTTTAGGCTATTTTTATTTTTTACTTTGAGATAGGTTTTTCTAACTCACTATGTTGCCCAAGTTGGGCTTGAATTTACAGTTCTCTTGAATCAGCTACCCAGAATGTTCAGAATAGAAGTACGAGTCATCATTCTTGAATATGGTTTTAAAAGGGTGAAACATGGATTTATTCCGTGGACTCCAAAAGGATAAAAAAGAAGGAAACAGTATCTGGAGGCTGGGTCCTTTAGCCCTTAAGCTCAGGAGGTCAGGGAGCCAGGTCCTTGTCACCATCTCTGCAAGCCATGGGTAGCCATGACTTTGTCTATCAAGCTGGAGGCCAGGCTGGGTTGGTACCCAGAACAGAGCCTCAGCATGGTGCCTGCCTAGCCCTGGGAGGAAGGCGAAAACCTGAGTTGGGATGCTCATAGAGGAAAGCCAATTTTAGTAATTTTTCCCATAAAAACACAACAGCAATTACTTATAGAACATATAAAGATGTTTTCAAAATATAAACTCAAAAATAGTTACTATAAATCACTATGTAAATCCACTTCCCCCAGAAACAAAAGTTTAACACAGGCATTCCCCCAACATGTCCTCTTCTAAGATACTTCTGAACCTAGGGAATTGGGTTTCTAAGGAGGTGCAATTCAAAGTTCAGACAAAGCAGAAACCGGAATAACCTTTATGTCACTAGATTAAACCAACAACAAAAGAGGGCAAGAACCTAAAATACCATTTGCCCAAGTGTGATTTTGAAATCCATCCAATGGGCTGGCCAAATAGCTCAGCATATTAAAGTGCCTACTTAGGCAGATGCAGGGGCTGGGAGTTCCATCCTCAGGTCTGCTGTGCTGGCCCCGCCCCTGGGGCGCACTGAGACTGCAATTGAAACTGGGCATGGTGGCGCAGCACTTGGGAGGCTGTATACAAGAGGATCACTGTGAGTCTGATCTATGCAGTGAGACCTTGTATACCCTGTCCTAAATTAAAAAGAAAGAAAGAAAGAAAGAAAGAAAGAAAGAAAGAAAGAAAGAAAGAAAGAAAGAAAGAAATCCATCTAACATCGGGTAAAGTTTCAATTTTTATGTCCCACACAGAAGAATTTGTTCTTCCCTTCCAGGTGTTTCTCTGAAGCTTTAAGGATGAGTTTAAAGTCAGCAGTTGACATGCTTTGGGCCAGGACTTCCCTGCTAGCCATGGCTGCAAAACTGTCACCCTGCAGGAATGCATGCACCTTCCTCTGTGGCATCCTATGTCACCTGTTGGCATCTGTATGAGACAAGGAACAGCTTGGCAAGCAGGTGGCCTTCCCTAGTGCCCCCTTTTTTGGATTCCCGCCAGCTTCCAGGACACTGTAATTATGCACCCCAATGACTGGTCCAAAGCTGGGAATACTGCCACTTTGTCTATAAGCCAAGCTTTCTTGCAAGATGAATTCCTCATGAAAAATGGCAAAAATATTTCCTATCATTAAAATAGTTCTACAGTAGACTACCACTTACTTTGAAAACATATAAGATAAAATACAAATTATTTGCCAGCTTTCTCTTGAATTAATCTCCAAAAGCATAAGTTAGCCCTTTAGCCACCCACTGTCTCCTAATCCAAACCACTGCCTGAGTGTTGACAAAGCGTCATCATTTTACAAAACTTAACCAATTTATGGCTTATCTTGTGAAGTCTTTTGTTTTTTTTTTTTAATTTTTTTTTTATTTATTTATTTGAGAGAGAGAGAGAGAGAGAGAGAGAGAGAGAGAGAGAGAGAGAGTGTGGTGTGTGTGTGTGGCCAGCTCAGCCCACCAGGGGGCGGGGCTGGCTGGCATGTGGTGCTGGGGGATTGAACCGCGGTCCCCGATGCTTTGCAAAGCTTATTCCAAGTAGGTGCTTTAGACCACTGAGCCATCTCTCCAGCCCAGTCTTTTGTTTTTAAAGGTTTTTGTTTTGCTGTTGTTGTTGGGGTTTTTTGTTTGTTTGTTTGGTTGGTTGGTTTTTGAAGTACTGAAGAATGAACTCAGCTTTCACAATGAGCTAATTTTCAGCCCTTTTTTTTTTTTATTAAGAGTCTTGTTCTTTCTGGGTTTAAATTTGCACACCCACTTCATTAGTGTCACGTTGCTGGGAAAACAGGTGTATGTCACCATACCTGGCTGGGGTTTTTCATGCGCGCACGCGCGTGTGTGTGTGTGTGTGTGTGTGTGTGTGTGTATTTTAGTACAGGGTCTACAGGGTCTCACTATGTAGACTGGACACATAGTGATCTAGCTGTATTCAGCCTCCCAAGAGCTGGGATTACAGGCACACGCCACCACGCCCAGTCTCAATCCCCATCTCAGTGCACCCTGGGGGCCAGCACAGCATGCTAGGGATCAAACCCTGGCCACTGTGTCTGCCTAAGTAGGAACTTTAATCCACTGAGCTATGTTTTTGTTTTTTTTTTTATTTTGTTTTTATTTTTGTTTTTTAAACAAAGTCTCACTGTGTATTCCAAACTGGCCTTGAATATACATGATCTTCCTGCCTGGGCCTCCAGAGTAGCTGGGATTACAGGATGTTCTACCATATCTGGCCTGTGAAGTGCTATGAATTCCCATGTATCAACTAACAGACTGAGACTTGCAGAAGTCAAACCCAGGGCCCTGCTTTTGGGAATGGTAATGCTGGGGACATAACATACTTTTGATCTGTGTGAGCTTGCGCCACAAGAACGCAGGGCAGTTCTCAGGATGTGAACTGAGTGTGACGACCACACTTAGAGCCCAAGACTCACCTCTGGACCAACTGTACAATGCTCTGGGTATTCATGAAGAAGACCTCGCGGTCGGCCTTGCGCTGCAGAGTGGCTGCATGGCAGTCCAGGATGGTGGCGATCTGGAGAGGAGAAGAAGATGGGTCTGACTGCTGATGGCCACCTAATCCAGCTGCTGCATGGTAGTCATTAGAAAGACCCACCAAAGGGGCTGGGGAGATGGCTCAGTGGAATAAGCGCTTCCCTGGCAAGCACAAGGGTCTGAGTTCAATACCTGGTTCCTCCAAAAAATAAAATAAAATAAAATAAAATAAAATAAAATAAAATAAAATAAAAAAATAAAATAAAAAATAGAAAGACCCACCACAGGCTCCCAGGATAGCTTCATTCAGGGTTCAAAGACCAAAGACTCCAACCCTGAAGCTGTCTGACCACAATGAACAAGCCCCGTGTATTCCCTCCAGGTACTGCCAGAAGAGCTCAAAGACTTAGAGTAACAATCACAACCAGGAACAAGAAAAGGATACTCGTCATCACTATGCCTGTCCATAGCACTTGGAACATTAACAAGACCAATTAGGCAAGAAAAAGAAATAAAAGGGATAAGTATAGGAAAGGAAGAAGTCACATTAGAAATATCTGTGGATGATGTGCTCCTCTACACAGAAGACCCCCAAAAAAGTTCACCAGAAGAATCTGAGAATTAATAACCAAATTCAGTAATAGAGCAGGATATAAAATCTATGCACAAAAATCAATACTGTTCCTTTACACTCAGAAAGAAATTAGAAAAAATACCATTCACAATAGCACCAAGAAAAAGTAAATATATAGGAATGAACCTAAGGCAATGAAAGTTCTCTACAATGAAAACTACAGTGCTCTGTAAAAGGAAATCAAAGAGGACACTGGAAAATGAAAAACTATCCCCTGTTCCTGGATAGGCAGAATCAATATGGTCCAACCAGCCATACTTACAAAATGGACACACAGGCTTAATGCAACCTCAATAAAAATATCAACAGCACTCTTTACAGAGCGTGAGAAAACAATCCTAAAATTCATATGGAACCAGAAGAGACCCAGAGTAGCAAAAGCAATTCTGGGTAACGTGAGCAAAGGAGGAGGTATCACAGTCCCAGACTTGAAATCATATTACAAAGTTACTGTGATTTAAAAAAAATAAAATACAGCATGGTACTGGCACAAACACACGTGGATCAGTGGAACCGAAAAGAGGATGCAAAAATAACCTCAAACACATTCAACTACTTTATCTTTGATAAAGGATCCAAACACCTATCCTGGGAGAGAGCTAGCCTCTTTAATAAGTCATGTTGGGAAAACTGGCTATCCACATGCAAGAGATTGAATATAGGTCCCTATCTCTCTCCATGTACTAAAATAAAAATGAGCCAAAGAATTAAATGTTAAAACAAAAACACAAGCTATTGGCAGGTAAAACAGAGGAACCTCTTGAAGTCATAGGTGTGGGCAAGGACTAATCTCAGTTGCACAGGAAATACTACCAAGAATCAACACATGTGATCATATTAAATTAAGAAGATTTCACACGGGAAAAGAAATTCAGTAGCGTGAAAAAGCTATTTCCAACCTACAGAATTGGAAAACAATTTTGTTAGCTACTCCTCAGAGAGAGAACTAATATCTAGAATATATACATAACTAAAAAAAATTAGACCTCCCCAAAATAAAAGACCCACCCCCCAAAAATGGGCAGGTAATATGAACAGACCCTTAACAGCAGTAGAAATGACCATTACACACACACACACAAGAAATGTTCAACATCACTGGCCATTCGAGAGATGCAAAGTAAAACAACACTGAGATTTCATTTTACTTCAGAAAGAACAGCTATTATCAAGAAATCAAATAATGAATGCTGGCAAGGCTTCAGGGTGGTGCCAGGGAACACCTGGACAGTGCGTGTGGGAATGTAAATTAGTACAACCACTACGGATATGAGCGTGGAGATTCGGCAAAAACTAAAACTAGAAATTCCATTGACTCAGCTCTTCCCTTTCTAGTAGCTTCCCCAAAAGTTCAAAGACATCATGTCACAGCAATATACGCATGCCCATGTTTACAGCAGCGTGGTTCACATAGCTAAGTCCTGGGCAGCCTGTATTTTCACCTACTGATGACTGGATGAGGAAAACGTATTTATGCACAATGCAGCACCACTATGCCATAAAGATAGGCTTGAGTCATTTGTAGGAAACCAGATGCACACTAAGACCGTAATGTACCAGACGCACAAACTTTGATGTCACATGGTTTCTTTTCTTTTTTTTAAACGTGGTTTCTTTTCTATAAGAAACCCAAATTATAGGGGCTGGTGAGATGGCTCAGTGGTCTAAAGCACCTACTTAGAACAAGCTTAGCAAAGCACAGGGACCGCGGTTCAATCCCCCAGCATCACATGCCAGCCAGCCCCCTGGTGGGCTGAGCTGGCCACACGTGCACACACACACACACACACACACACAAATAAATAAAATTTTTAAAAATAAATAAATAAAAAAGAAACCCAAATTATAAACAAAGAGCAAAATAAGAGCTAATACTAAGTAAGGAAATAGACTTATTCAAATGGGAAGAGGGTCAAACCATGGAGGGAGGGCAAGAAAGAGGAGGAGAGGGGCTTAAAAAGGAATTAAGGCGTGTTACACTCATGTACCCACACCACACAAGGAATGTAAATGTTATGAGTACTTGCCGCAAACAAGTACCAATAAAAAAAGTGACGACCCCAATATAAAAGACCCACTCAAAAAAATGGGCAGTGACAACCCCACAGAGAGCCATGTTTACGTTGCATCTCCCTGCGGGTAGAAGAGGCTGTGGAAAGAGAAGGAAATCTTCAACTCTCACCAAAAATAGGTGCCAGGTAGGGAGTAATTAGATGTCATTGGTATACTGCTTTTGGCAAGAAGGGTGTTTTGTTTGTTTGCTTGTTTTTGCAGTACTGGGGATTGAACCCAGTGCCTTCACACTGAACTACCTCCCCAACCCTTTCAGTGTTTACCTTGAACAGGATCTCGCTAACTCCTGCCTCAGCCTCCCGCAAGTCTAGGTTTACAGGCATGTGCCACCATGCCTGGCTTGGTTTCCATTTTTTAAATATCAGTAGGCACACACAGGGCTACAGGGCTATTTTAAAAATCCAGAAAGAGACCATCAACACTGGGTTGCAATTCTCTTAACAATTCTCACCAGTCTAGTTTTTGGAAAGTTCTTACTCTGTGTGCACCAGTTGCTGACCCCAATTCTGAATCTAAGCTTAATGGAGCAGAACCTAGTGATGGCTGGTGTGCACCAAACCAGCGGCTGCTTGGGACAAAACACTGAGATACAGCAGAGAAGGCGTGGGGATAAAACAACACAGGCCCCCACAGTCTGGGCTGTGAGTGGGTCTCTGAAGCTCAACTTGATTGGGGGCTGGATCCGGAGACCCAGCTAACAGCAGGACCCGAGCCAGGAACGTACCTGCTGGCTGGGGAACTGGCAGAGGACCGAGGTGATGTTGCTGGCATACTGGGCCATCACTCTGCGGACCGCCTTCTCCACAGGGACAGGGATGCGGCCTGCCACGCTGGTCATGATCTCCTGCAGCTCCAGCAGTGGCAGCGATGGGTGTCGGAGAGTCGTCATGAGCTTCTGCACCCACTCTTTCAGCTGTAGTGGGAACCAAGCATTGGCCTGTGGGTGTGGGCATTGCCACCACCTTGGGCAACATATGCCACACAGCTGGCTCAACCTGCCAGACCCCAGAAGTTCAAGTGGCTCAAGGTTTAGACCTGAAGCTGTTGGAATGGCTTTGGATGGCCCTGGATCACAAGGGGAATTCAGTGTGCCAACAGGGCAGGTCCTGCTTCCTCTAGGAGCATCCAGAAAGCCAGCACAGGGTCTTTTCACAGAGGTCCACAAAATGCAAAGCAGAGGCCCACCAAGTGCAGAGCTCCTTGTTTCTCTGCAGAGGGAGCAGATGGTAGGACCTGGGATGGTGAACAGCAAGGGCAGCTCTTTCTGGACAAAGTGCCTTCTTGCTTGTAGGGTCACCAGAAGCCTGTCCCACACTGACTTCCTCCCACACTTCCTACTTGAAGTGGCTCAGTATCAGGCTGGATTGAATCACTGACATCCCGGTAGCTATGCACAGCCAAATTTATGTCAAGGTGAGGAATCTCTGAGGACAGGTCCGCCACAGACACAGCAGGACTCACCAGTTCTCATCTGTTGCACCAGTAAAGCCCTCTGAGATCTTGGGGTAAAACCCACTGACTGCCCACAGACCCACCCACACCTGCTCCGTGCAGGTGACTCACCTTTCTGCTAAAGAAAGGCTCCGGCAGGCAGTAGCCACTCATGACATTGGTCAGGTTGTCCAGCACACTGTGGAAGACTTGGTGTAGCTTTTCTCCGAGGATGGGAAGGGTCTGCTGGGCAGGGAGCACCCCCATGAAGGGCTCGGCCTGGCAAGACACAACAAGCACAGGGCATGGAAACCACATAAACCTGAGGAAGACCACAAAAACAAGGGGATGAGGCAGATTGGCCAGTTTGCACAACAGAAAAGAACAAAAAAAAAAAAAAAAAAATCACACTGGGAAGTTAAAATTGCAAAATTCAGGGCCAGGGAGATGGCTCAGTAGAGTAAGCACTTGCCTGGCAAGCACAGGGGCCTGAGTTCAATCCCTGGTTCTGCCAGAAAAAAATAAAATAAAATGCAAAATTCATATCCTGATCCAAGTTTTCCAGTTCATTATTGGAGGAATGGATAAATAAATTGTAGTACATGCATCTCTCTCAGCAAAGCAATATAGTCGATGGAATATTATTCAGTCCTTAAAAAGACAGAAAATCTGACACACAGTACAACACAGAGGAAGCTTGAGGGATTAGGTTAAGTGTAATAACCCAGTCACAAAGGGACAAATACTGCTTGTTTCCCCTTCTAGAAAGTACCTCCAGCAGGCAGATTCCTAGGGGCAATGGTAGAACAGTGGCTGCTAGGGATTGGAGGTGGAGGGCTTGGGCAGTTCATGTTAATGGGCATGTGGGGTTTCAGTGTTACGAGAGAGTTCTGGAGATGGATGGTTGTCAACAGCATGGTATACTTAACATACTGAATGGAACATTTAAAAATGGCTAAGATAGGGCCGGTGAGATAGGTCAGTGGACTAAGCGCCTGCTTTGGCAAGCGCAGGGACCAGGGTTCAACCCCCAGTCCTGCTGAGCCATCAACCTTGTCCGGGCATGGTGGTGCACACCTGTAATCCCAGCACTGGGGAAGCTGAGACAAGAGGATTGCTATGAGTCAGAGCTGCATAGTGAGAGCCTGTTCCAAATACAAAAAATGTACCAAAAAAAAAAAAGGCTAAGATGGTTGGTTTTATGTTACAAATACTTAAACACAACTATTGAAGGGAAATTCAATGAAATCTGAGTAAAATGGGAACTTTTTAGTTAGCAACAACCTGTCTACATCAGGACCAGGCAAGGGCGGCTGGTGCCTATGATCCCAGCATGCTGGAAGACCCAGGCAGGAGAACTGCAAATTCAAGCCCACATGACTGAGTGAACTTGTCTCAAAATAAAAAGGAAGTAAAGAGCTATAGATTCAGTTTAGTGTGAAGGCCCTGGGTTGAATTCCCAGCACTGCAAAACAAAATGAAATGGAAAAAAAATAAACAAATCCATACAATTACAATAATAATTAAATGAATAGTAGTTAATTTATAATAATTAATTAAATTTTGAGGTAAATTAATGACAAATCATTAATAGGGGATTTTCAGTCCAGGGTATATGGGAACCCTCTGTACGGTCTATATAATTTTTCTATAAACCTAAAACTAAAATTTAAAAAAAATGAGTAAAAATTTAAAAAGTGGTCAAGCATCTCTCAGGGGTACCACTGGAGCTAAAGTTAGTGGCTGTGAGGTACCCCTGGGGATGCCCCGGCACAGGCCCTGGCAGACAGAGGGACCAGGCTCCAGGTGTGAGAGCTCCTGTAAGCTACAGGAAGCAGGATAAAGGAGGAAGCCATGCACAAGGCTGTAATCTCAGCACTGGGGAGGCTGAGGCAGGAGTATCCTAAGTTAGAGCACAGCCTAGGCAACTTAGCAAGACCCTTTCTCAACATAAGAAACAAGAGAGGGCCTAGGACGGCTCACACCACCACATGGGCTGCTGGGCTGAACATGTCTGTAGGAAGAGAGTAGAGGCAGGAGCCCGGGAGGCTCCGCTTGCCTCTGCACAGGGTTGGTAGGTAGACCGGGGACTCGCCTGCAGCAGCCAGCGCTGCCGGGGCCGGGTGCTACATACCGGGTGCACTTTTGAAGGGTCATCAAGCTCCAGCCTGGCCACCACGCAGCCGGCTTCCAGCACAGCTCCCGGACGCTTGACATACTTCACCACGCCGCTCTCCTGCACACTCAGCGCCATGATCATCTTCATCACCTGATTTGCAAAAAGGAGTAGGACAGAGCTCCCTAGGACTGACCTGGTGTGCGGCACCCACAGCCACCCAAAACTAGTGACTGGAGCGGGGGCCGTGGCAGGGGACTAGAGCGACTCTCTGGGCAATGCTCAAGCAGGAAGCACAGAGAAAACCTTCGCTAAAGCTGGCAGCACGCCAGACACAGCTCATGAAGCCGCCCCACCTGCAAACCCAGCTGGGAAGGCACAGCTGATTATGCCCATTTCACAGAGAGGGAAACTGAATTTTTCAGAGCTGGGGGTGGAACCCAGAGCCCCGTGCATGCTGAGCTTGTGGTTTGCCATTGAGCTATATTCCCACCCTCTTTAATGCCTAAGGAAGTCCTCTCTTTGGAAATACAATGAAGTCATATTGCATGAAGTGACTAGTATACAGTCATAAGCAACATAAGGATATTGTGGCCCTCAGTGGCTCATATACGATGGCAGTATCATGAGAGAAGGAAACTGAACAATTCCTATAGCCTGGTGACACTGTGGCTGCCCTAACATCAGAGTGCAATGCATTACTCACCTGTCTGCATTGATGCTGGTGTGAACAAACCTATTTCACTGCCAGCCATATGAGAGGAGAACACGGTTCTGCTCAGCACATAGTACTTGGTATTAACAAATCACTATGTGGCTGGCTTAGGTACCTACTGTACTAGACTTTTTACCATTATTTTACAGCATACTCCTCCCACTTACTGGAGTTATTGTAGGACATTCTGCTGTGTGTCACCAGCGGCAGCATCCTGGGTTTCATGTGGAGGGACAGGTCTATACATTTAGGGTACAGCACTTGCATTTTGAAGAAATAACTGCCCAAGGGCATCTTGGGCATATCTCATTCCATATTCGCAAAGTTCACTGCCGCGTTTCCACGGCTCGCGTTACTTGCTTAGCAGACAGCACAGGAAGGAGGCCAGGGGTGAAGCCTGGCTCTGTGTGATGCTGAGTGACTTCTTTAGCCTTCCTGAGCCTGATTCATTTGTATGGAAAATGGGAATCACATCTATGCTCGATTCATGACTGCTGGGCAGATGTTTAGACCAACACCTGCTGTAGGTTGAGTGCTTTATAAATGTAGCATAATGCTTTTGATTTTACACACTAAGGATTAAATCCGGGACATGCTGCACTATATCCCCAGCCCACCCCTCCACCCTACCCC